TCTGACCAAAATGGTTTTCTCCCTTCTAAACAAATTAGAGATAACACAAGAATAGTATTGAATATATTAGAGTATTACAAGGCACATCCAGAGAAACAAATTGCCCTTGTTTTTCTGGATGCGCAAAAAGCATTTGATAATTTAAATAGGAAATATATAATTAGTCAAATTAGAGAAATGAATTTTCTCTACAGCGACAAATTTGAACAAATGATTGAAGCAATTTATTCGTCTCAAAAAGCAAACCTAATAATAAACATAGAAATTACAAAAACATTTGAAATAAAGAAAGGAGTCCGCCAGGATGCCCACTGTCACCTCTGCTTTTTATTTTGACTTTAGAATCGCTATTGTTGAAAATTAGAGCAAACCCAGAGATTAAGAGAACGAAAATTAGAACAGAAGAATATAAATTAATGGCATTTGTGGATGAGTTGGTATTTTTTTGGGAAGATCCAAAGAAAACAGGACCAATATTATTACGGGAAATAGAAAAATATGGGGAAGTAGCGGGCTTTAAAATTAATAAAACAAAAATAGATAGAATTAGAGGGGAAATTAGGATTACAGAATGTGAGAAAAGTTAAATACTTAGGAATTTGGCTGACAGCGAGCTGTTCTTCAATCAAAGAAGACAACTATGTAAAGTTTATGCAACAAATTAAAATTGATTTGGAAAGATGGGGGGCATTAAACCTATCCTTACTGGGTCGGATTGCGATGATTAAAATGAATATTCTTCTGAAATTGTTATATTTTTTCCAAACTATTCCCATAAAATTAGATAAGAAATTTTTTATAGAACTGAATCAAATTACAACAAAATTTATATGGGCGAAGAAAAAAGCAAGAATAAAATTATCTGACCTTCAGGACAGTAGAAGCAGAGGTGGCTTATGGCTCCCAGACTGGCGACTTTATTATCAGGCAGAAACTCTAGTTTGGATTAAAGAATGGATTAACCTGAGAAATAAAAGATTACTCACACTGGAAGGACATGACTTAAAAAAAGGATGGCATGCTTTCCTATGGGACAGAGAGAACAAATCTCATTCCAATTTTTTTCAACATAAAATATGAGAAGTTGTAATGCAAACATGGTATGAAATTAAGAAAAAACATTACATGAAAATCCCAAATTGGATTTCAACGATGGAAGCAATAATCCATCCTAATACATTGAATTTAAGTAAAATGGTAAAATACAGTGAAATTTTAGACAACCAGGGGAATCTAAAAAGTAGGCAAGAATTGGAAGAACAGGGAATAAATATAGATTGGTGGCTTTATCTACAATTAAAATCAATATATATAAAAAATATAAATGAATATGGCATTGAAATTCTACCAAAACAATTAGATAAAATAATGATTGGCCCAGATGAAAAATTAGTAACCAAAATTTATAATTATTTACTAGAATTTGACAGAGATGAAGGCATAGTAAAATAAGCTATGATAGCCTGGGCTAGGAATATTGGACATAATATCGAACTAGAGGATTGGGAAATAATTTGGAACAAAAATTATAAATTAACCAGATCGGCAAAATACAAAGAAAATCAATATAAAATGTTTTACCATTGGTACTTGGCACCCTCTAGATTGGCAAAAATATACTCAAATTTAAACCCCAACTGTTGGACAAAAGCAAGGTACCTTCTTTCATACATGGTGGTTATGCCGCAAAACAAAAAAAAATTGGATGAAAATACATAGTTGGATACAGGAAGTAACAGGCTTCCAGGTAGAATATACACCAGAATTGTTTCTTCTAGGAATAATAAAAAAGTAATATGAAAAAATGACAGCATATATTATTCTACATATGACAATGGCGGCAAGATTGGCATTTGCGCAATATTGGAGAAGCTCGAACACACCCTCCAAAGATCTAATAATTAGAAAGATATTAGATTGCGTCAAGATGGATATAATGACATTGGAACTGAAAGGACAGATGGCTTCGGACTTTTACATAATATGAGAGAAATGGTATAATTGGATCGAAGATAGAAAAAAAAGGAAATAACAGATAATAGATTTTGTAAAATTATATAGAGTATAGGAGAATATTAGTGTGATGATATGTAAATGGTCACAGTCATGCACAAGAGCAGAATAAGAATTGTTTAATTGTTAAAACCCAATAAAACTCAAAAAAAGAAAAGAAATGTATTTAAGACAATACTAACTAGATCCAAATTACATAAACTTTTCCTATTTGGCTTCAAAATTGCTTGAGACAAATATATCAGAAAACACTGACCAGTGGACCAGCAGACTGCACTATTTGCATCCCATGAGGTCTCACTTCACAGGGACAACCCCTTCTTGCCTAAGATGCTGAGGGTCCCACCAGTAGACCATGTAGAGTATCACATGAGTCTTTGTTCAGAATCAAAGCTTCTAGAAGGACCTCCTTACCTGAGATGGAGCTTGAGCTGTACCGTATATAGGTTTTCTATCTAATACATAAGGATTTGGTTCAATTCTACCAACTGCTGGAGCAAGCTGTGTGCCTTGGAACTATCCATGGTCCTGCAAATTATATCTTACCTGGCTGATAGTTGCTTATTTTGGCAGCCCTTCTGCACACTCCCTATTCCAGCCTTCTATAACCAAGACTCCTCTAGAGATTTTATCAGAATAGTCCCAGCTGGCTGGAAATTCTGGGACCTGTTATCCTAATGTATTTAGAAGTACCAGGCTGGAGATAAGTGTTTATAGTTCCCCAGATGCTTTTTTTTCCTACTGCTTTCTATCTTCTACCCATATGTCTGCTCTCAGAAGGTTTTAATCTGCCTCTGCAAGACTTAAGCCACCAAGAGAATCTAGGAACATGCAACTGGGGATAACTCTCTACTATGATATGTGTGTGTGAATTATCGTGTGATCAAAAATTGGTAGACCTATCTTTTCAGCCAATTTTATTTTTCTTTGTCAAGGAGTATCAAGTTCAATTTGCTACCTTAATTTCCACCAGGCATTTGCTAAAGTAATATTGCAGAAGATATGCAGATTTCTAAGACTGGTAAGGGTGATCTTGAGTTAATAGAAATGCAAATATTACAATAACTGTATGCATAATCACTTAAAACTTTGAATCTAAAGAGCTACTAAAGCAGCACTAATGTAATTTGAAAACAGCAGACATTTAAAAAATTACCTTATAAAATCTAATAATACCATAAAAATAAAAAATCAGAAACCAACGTCATAAAATGGAAGGTCAGGGTTAAGAGAGTGGGAAAAAGACATATGTCTTGACAATAGATCACAGATGCCATATAAATAAATGGCCAATTTGCCCTGGGGGAGACAATTCCATAATCTGGAACTGGACAAATGAAAAGGCTCCATTTTGCATCCATCTCTAGCAGTGGATGGGCAAATCCTACTGTTTAAAGGAGCTAAATATAGTGTTCTGAACTTCTTGTGCTTGGAAATGCACTTAAAACTAGTGACAATAAATGAAAAACATAAAAATATTTAAGCACTTAAAATGCCATTCCCATTATTTCACACTACATAACATTTTCAAATACTTTACAGAGAATGTTTCATCACTGTTGTGCCCGTGCCAGATGCATGGCATATGTGACATCATAATAGCTCACTAGATATGTAAAGCTTGAGAATATTTAATGCATATTATATCAACTTGCTCAAATCTATGTCTTCCAAACTTGCTTCAATCTTGTAATCCCCAATTTGCAAAGGAAAACAAGAGATCTACATTTATACTAAAATTTACTTTTCCTCCATCTCTATCATTTTAAATGGCAATATATTTATTTTTACTTAATTATTTTTTTGCCATTTTCTGATTTTTAAGAAGTTTTGCTCCCAAATTCAAAGTCCATTCCAGACACTTTCTTTAGAATAAAGCTTCTCTAAACTACTACTTTTCTGTGGGAAGATATAATCGTATTTTGTAATACAATCACATATAGAAAGTCTTTTGTTACACAATCCGAAGCACTGTTTTTTAGAAAAATGTTGTTTTCAATTTAGTGGGATTTTCAATTTAGTGGAATATCCCAGAATAGTAGGCAGAAGCCTGCAGCCTTAAATCCGATACAATTACTGCTATTACTACTACTAATAATAATAGAAACAGAAACATTTTATTAAATTAGCTTTATGGTTAATAGCATATTCAGGATAAGAAATGGACAAACAGCTTGCTGTAATTTTTTTTTCTCTTTTCCTTCTCTCTTTTTCCATTCTCTACAGGACTAAAACACATTTAGAACCCACACATTTGGGAAAGCTGATGTAATAATAAATTAATAACACATGCCATGTTGATTTAGCACATACAGCACCTCAGTCATGAAACTAATTAGATTTTAAAAGTCCCATCTCCACTCCTGGTATTTATCATGAGAACAGATTAGGCAAAGGAATCAGATATGTACAAAAAGTGTATTTTTGCCACACTTTTTCAATTATAGATATGCTCCCTCTTTAATTAATATCTTCATGTAACTCATAAATCATAGTATGAATTACAATAGAAGTTTAATGCACTTCAATATGTGTACATGTACATACACAAATGCACAAATACATATTTACTAGATACCTTAGAAAGAATAATTGCAAAAAGTAGACATTATAAGGAAATAATTCAATATAATTTTGATGTACCTGTACCCCCAAATACTCTACTTAAACCTTTCTATTTTTCTACTTTGTAACTACTACAATAGGTACCACTTCTATTTTCACTGAAATTCATTCACACAAAACCTTTGCATTTATATCCACAGAATGGCATACATACTAAATTTGTGCAGAAGAGACAAGTATCTGAAGATGTGGTTCCTAAATTCTTATTTCAAGACTGCTTTAAAGAGTCAGGAGTGCTTATAGCTGAATAGAGCTCAGGAAACAGAAGCTTTAAAAAAAAAAGTGAGTTTATGAATCTACTTAGATGCAAAGGTAAATGGATAAAGATAGTAGCTGCAAACGAGAAAGGAATGAACAAATACCTTTTGAATTCTTCCATTAATATCCAGATAAATACACTTGGGTTGGTATGCTGATGAGCTGCATCCCATCTTCCTAAGATTTGCTACAGTGAGACTTTGGCTGTAATTCGTTGGATTAACTTTACAGCAGAAATAAGGTCCAGCCAACTGAAACTGAACCACTATTACTAGATGCATAAGTCTCTTCCCTCTTTCCCATTCTGCAGCCTCAAACTACAATCCTCCTTCTCAGATATGCATGCATTTCCCATCACTTTTCTACTCCTCCTTTCAATTTTTTCCCCCTCATTCTTGTGAAAGAATGGGAGGGAGCCAAGCTCCAGACCCTGTCACCAAGCGCCCTCTTGATTCCCATAGCAACTCTCGATGGCTTCAGAGCAAGGAGTCTTTTTGCAATCAATGTGCAATGCCTGTACAGAAAAGTAGGGTTTGATTAGCTGCTTTGACACAAAGTAGCACTTAACACTCAGCAAATGATCGGCATTTATTTCACAGTTGGTGTTAAAGGATTTTTATTGTAAGGTTTCAGAATTCATTCTTTGAGCAGTCTGTCTAGACATAAGAGAGAAAGAACATGACATTCAGTCAGTGAGTTGATTTTAAGGGCACAGTATAGCAGCACTTGGAATTATTAAAGTTAAAATAGAGTCTTTTATGCACACTTCTACTTTAATGGCCCAGAAAGAAGGAAGTAAAGATCATACAGGGTTCATAGAAATGCTGCATGATTTTTGGGGGCCTATTTTTATAACCCCTAGGTTCTAAAACTTTATGTTTAGTAGAAATAAATGACATGTTGAGGTGATATATAGATTGGCTTGATAAATCACATTCCATAAATTTAGAATGGAGAATTATATTAAACATATTTTCAGTGAATAGATTTTAAGTGCCATCTACTGAATTATAGTGGAATATGAACTGTTCAACTGTAGGGCAATCTATGGGATAATGTTTCTAATTTGTGATGGAATGGAATATTCCCACAAGGTTGACATTAAAGAATTAAATATATCATGACCAAATGATTTCAAGATTCATTGGGACTACAAATCTTAGCCAGCATGTTATAATTCTAACCCATCTGGAAAGCTACAAGTTTGATAAGGCTGAAATAAAGAATGCTCACCTAGTTTTCACTGAAAGTGGCCTGCTATCATCAAGTGATTTATTGCAACATAATTTGTTTGCACAGTAATTTTTTAGGGATGAATAAGTTGATAATAAGTGAATAAATGATACTCCTGGGCTGGAAACAATTCCAGTGTTACTATTTTTCTCATTTTTCATACTGCCTTGGATCACTCTATGTACTGTAACAGAAATGGTGGAATCCATAATTCACAATAATGGCACAATGTTCCTAGTAAAAAAAAATTTGCTTTTCATTTTTCTGACTCCATCACTCATGACACTCAGATATTTAAGCAAAATATACTGATCACCACAACAGTTGTCATAAAGAAGCTCAGACGTTTCTATTAATGTAAGAAAATCTAAACAGATCCTTAATATGTTAACAAGAGTAGATAATTGTAATTCACATCACAGAAATTTAGCAACATCTGGAGTCCCCTCCCTGGTTTATCATGTAAAGTTTTAGTCTGCAAATCTGAAATTATGGTACCTACTGACAAGATTAGAAATGCACAATAAATCAGGATTTACTTATTCCTTTTCAGTTCAAAATAGAACGATCCATTTCCCCACCAAAGAAGACTAAAAATATTATTCCACTGGGTCATTAAATCTTTTTCCAGTAGCAGACTGACTGCTATTGAAATTTTTAAGCTTTATTTCATTTGGAAGAAACAGACAACATGATGATGATGATGATGATGATGAGATGATGATGATGATGATGATGATGATTCATTCTCTGAGGCAAGACCAAGTCCATTATTGTTGTCCCAAACCTATAATTAACAAGTATATATAGCAAGTATATACTGTAAATACAAGCATCATTACATGGCATCTGGAAGACAATAGCATTGGGAAGATTTGAATTGTAAGACAACAAGTGTTATGTCAGTGCTCCTTCAATACCTCTCTGGTGTAAAGACAGGAATAAATGGAATACAGGAATACAGAAAATGAATCTGAAAAAAAATCAAATCTCTATGCCAGGGGTGTCAAATTAGTGGCCCACGGGGCAGATGTGTCATGAGCAGGCCATGCCCGCCCCAGCTCTGTGAAGGGAAAAATGTCATGAACTGTCATGTGATGGCAACGTGACACTGCAAGTTTGACACCCGTGCTCTATGCGAACTTTGTAAACTATTCTCATATCATTTACCCCAAACAGATTTGCAGCTGGGCCTTACTTTTTAGCACATAGCTCAATTGATTTCTGAGTTAATTCTGTTCTGATTGGAAACTCACTCATTTAATAAATAAAAGCTCAGAAAGAAGCTTGACATATTGCATTATTTTTCCCACCTAATACACAACTTTCTTTTCCCTGCAGACTGATCCCTATCTTTTTATTTTCTCCTTGACCTTCTGGTTCTCTTTTCAATCTTCAATTTATTTTCTTTCATTGAACAGTCATATTTCAACTAGAAAATTCATTAAGTATTGCATACAACTGGAGGATGATTATTGCATTCTTGCTTTTTAAAGTGCTATGCCTTTGAAGTGTTTGAAGGCAACTAGACCCTTTGGCAGAGCATATTAAGTGCTTAAGCTCACTGTGTTACTCAAGTTTGTACAAAGGCTACAAGCTTCAGAAACAAATAAACGGTAAACAGCAAAATAAACAGCAAAAGGAATGGAAATGCAAACACGCTTTCCACTTTAGAGAGATGAAAGAAGGAACATGGATTATTTGAACAATGATTCCAGGAAACTCAAATGTGTCAAAGCATAGAATTACCTGCTGGCTCAATTACACAACAATCTCTTTCACATAAATGGTATGTTTGTCTCTAACTTAGATTTCTCTCAGTCGTTCTTTTCCCAATTTCCATTTCTCTTTATGCTTCTTTCTTCAGTATTTCTTTAGCTAGCCTACTTTGCTTCAATGTTCAGCTCTTCTTCAATTTTGCCTGATTCAAAACTTTGGTTCTTTTTCCTGGGTCCTGCTGTTTCTATTCAATTGAAACACAATAGCCAGTTTTGAGAGAGAGAGAGAGAAAGAGCAAGCTGGGGAAGTTTTACACACTTAGTCTTTCCATTAAATAAAAGCAGTTGAATTCTCTTGATTTAAGAACATATGAGGAGATGAAGATCACAGTCTTTTGGGTAGACATATTCCAACTTGGAATGAGTTAAATTCTTTCCTTCAGAAATTTTTTAAATGTAATCTCTGTCTGATCAGTACCACCATCTGGTGGCAACCATGATCACTGCAGGAGCAATTTTCTTCCATGTTTCTTACCGTGTTTCCCCGAAACTAAGCCATGTCTGGATAATAAGCCCAATTGGGCTTTTAAGCGCATGTGGTAAAATAAGCATCCCCGCCGAAAATAAGCACCCCCCCCACAATACTTAGACACATGCGCAGCTGCCAAGCAAACAACATGACGTGAGGAGGCGAGGTCGGAGGGGGGGCGGAAAGGGAGGGGGAACATGCTCCACATGCCCCACATGCACCTGCCATCCATGCGGAACAGACTTTTCGGTGAGCCGGACACACCGCTGCCACTCGAGAGAAGAAGAAAGAAAGGAGGTGCTGTGAGAGAGCCCATTTCTGACGTTCTTCACCTCCTGGGTGGTGGCAGCACGTTCAGCTCCCTAAATCTGGATTGCCAATCTTGGCAGGCGAGGGGGAGTGTGCGAGCAGGTTAGAGCATCTTCAGTAGGATTCTACTTTTTTTCTTTTTTTTCATATAAAGTGCACTGTGAACAGAACATGGTCAGACTGCTCTCCCCTGTCTTAACTTTGGCTGCCTCTGCCATGCGCAGAGGAACATGTCAAATTTGTCTTCTCACTGAAACATGTCTTCTCGCCGAAAGACCCAGACTTTTCTTTCTACAAGGGGAACTTTCCTCTTGCAAAGGTGCCATGACTTTAAATCTTGGAGCCCCTCATCGGAAGTGTTTTCTTGGATGGCGTGAGCTCCTGCCTCTACGGTGGGCTTTCATCATGGCTCTTGGACCTGCAACTCTGATTGGGAGTGCCTGACCTATCTCTCTCTCACATCGCCTTTCCAGGAAATGGGTCTCCATCCCAGACTGTCGTGCCTGCCAAACAAGCCCTTCATTCCCACGCAGGCTGCAAGCCACTGGGGGGCTGTGTGGAGACGCATGGGGGGGGGTTCCTCATCTTTTCTCTTGGAGCTGCACTACGCAGACCAGCCGTTGGGATGGACAGCCCACCTGGGGGTTTCTGCTCAGGAGCATCCCAACTTTTCTCACCCATTGAAGCATTCCTCCCTTTCACTTCTGTTGGGCTGATGGGAACCGGTCGAGGTTCCAGATGATCCTGAAATAAAGATGCTGGGTCCTTGAAATCGGGCGTAGCGGATTTCTGTTCACAGTGCACTTTATATGAAAAAAAAAGAAAAAAAGTAGAATCCTACTGAAGACACTCTAACCTGCTCGTACACCTCGTCGGACTGTAGGTGGAAAGAGGAGTGCCAAAACACACCATTCCATTTCCTTCCTTCCCCACCCCTCCCCACCTGCCACTCCCCCTCACCAGCTGAAATCAGCAAGCCAGATTTGGGGAGCTGAATGCACTGCCGCTGCCTGGGAGAAGAATGTCCGTGTGGATGGCAGGTGCTTGTGGGGCATCTTCCCCCCCTTCCCCCCTTGCCTCCTCATCTTTTTTTTTTTTTTTAATTGATTTATTTGCCGCCCTTCTCCGGAGACTCAGGGCGGCTTACAATGCGTTAAGCAATAGCTTTCATACTTTTGTATATTTATACAAAGTCAGTTTTGTATATTTATACAAAGTCAGCTTATTGCCCCCACAAACTGGGCCCTCAATTTATCTACCTTAGAAAGGATGGAAGGCTGAGTCAACCTTGAGCCTGGTGAGATTCGAACTTACAGTAATTGCAGACAGCTAGTGTTAATCACAATGCTATCAGTCTGCTGAGCCACCAGACACTTTGTGCTGTTTGCACGGGAAGCAACGAAAAAGCTGCCATGATTGCTGGAGGCAGCGGCCTGAGCGGCACCGGCGAAGCAGCTGGTCAGTGCTCCAGGGCTGAGGTTTAGGGATAAGAAACCCTGATAATAAGGCCAAGGCCATATCTCGGGGGTCAAAAGAAAATAAGACCCTGTCTTATTTTCAGGGAAACACGGTAGTACACGTAGTCCTCAATTTACAACAGTTCATTTAGTGACGGTTCAAAGTCAAAATGGCACTGAAAAAAGTGACTTGTAACTGTTTTTCACAGTTACAATCTTTGCAGAATCCCCACAAACATATGATCAAAATTCAGATTATTGCCAACTGGTTTATACTTATGCAGCATCCCGGGGTCATGTGATCCTCTTTTGCAATCTTCTGACAAGCAAAGTCAATGGGGAAACCAGATTCGCTTAACAGTCAGGTTGCTAACTTATCAACTGTAGTGATTCACTTAACAACTTGGGCAAGATGTCATAAAATGGGGAAAACACACTTAACAAATGTCTCACTTAACAACAGAAATTTTGGGCTCAATTGTGGTCGTAAATTGAGGACTATTTGTAGTGTTCCCATTTTTGAGGGAAAACAAATTCTTTTAATTATTTTGCCTCACAGTTTTTATCAAGGAACTTTCTATAAGTATTCTTCCTTTTGTTCAGCCTTGTCTTCCTGTTTATTGTTCAGATTTTCATGCAGAAATCCAAACAAATGTTTTATACGAATGTTGCTTATAAGAAGTTGGGAGTAGAGCAGTTTAGTTTCTCATAGGAACCATTCTTGGGAGTGAAGAGGACAGACCATAGATGCATTAATGATGGGAGTCCTAAATTAAGAGGAACTCTGAGAGCAGATTTCTGAAAAGAAACTTGGCACAACTTGATGGAGATATGTAATGGAAGTTACGATGCACTTAGATTGCTCTGTCTTTTGAGTTATGGTTTTAGTCAAGAAGATTGTAGGTTGGCAAACCTGAGTTAAATTGGACACTGTTTGAAGGCTTGTAAGTTGGAGAGTTGCTCAAAGTGCTAGAGGGCAAGTTCAGAGGAGAGAGGTTGCTGAAGACAAAGAGATGGAGGTGCTATGAGATTCATCTACCCAATACAAATGTTTCTAGTGGAGTAAAGATGACAGAAGATCAAAGGTTACTAGTCTGAGGAATGCCAGCTGTCAGCCTGACTCAGAGGAAAATTACAAACAGTATCTATAGACACTTCTTTAACCTCAAATGGGGAAATACGTAAGGCATAGAAATAAAGGAATGCCTACATATAAATTCCATATTCCATATTGTAGTAGTGTATACATGTCCAGCCAAAAAAACATTTATGCTCCATGATATTCAGGAGTAAAAGAAAAATCATTTGTATAGTCTCATAACTTTAAGCTGGGAAAAAGAGAGTGAAAATCACCTTAGCTGATAAGACTGTAAATTATGCTTGCAAAGCTTGGCTGTGAAATCAAAATAGATGGATGCCAGCTGCTTAATAAAATTAAAAACAAAAATCTGAAATTATTTTATACTGAGTTTTGATCAAATCCGAGAATCCATAGGAACATCTTGTGACAAGTCAGATGGGAAATATCTCCTTTTCAGTATAAATGAATATATGGAGAGAAAAGAATCCTGACTTCCTGACCCCATCTTTATCCCCCATTGTAATAAAATGATTACGTAAGACATATGTAAATAAATTTGTATTTTCTTTGCGGGGAATCAGCTGTACCATCTACTTCAGATTTTGGTTTGGTAGCGGCAGCCACATTTACTCTGAAGGGAGGGCCACAGAAATTAGAAGAGGAAACATTGTATCATCTCAGGTCCATTTTTCCTAGTACTTTAACCATTCTAGCCTTTAGCTTCTCTATCAATTTGATCTTTTCATTGTATGACATTAAGTAGGTATTGTTTCTTAGCAACCACATAGTTTGACTTCCTGTAAAATGATCTGTTCCCAATCTGGCCTTTCATGTTCTCCAATGATGTACTCATCCCTGCTGTAATTGAGTTCATCCACCTTCTTGCTGTTTGTTCTCTTCTCCTGCATTGTAAAGAGCTCCATTGTGAAGAAACCCAATGGATTAAATATGTTGGACTGTGAGCTAGATCACCCGGCATTAAACAATTAAAGGACACAAGTAAGTAAATAAGTAATTTAATAGAGGTAATTTAATAAAGGTAAATACCATTCTGTCCTTTCCAAAATGCACTTAGAAACAAGAATCACATTATTCAAATGCATTCAGGGCAATTCTAAGGTTTCAGAGACAAATACATAAGGAGGATTCTTGCGAATGTACTGTCATGAAGGTATGAGTTTTACACCATTCAGTTGGATGCTGAGGCCAGTTCTGCATAAACACAATCAGAGGGAAAGTCCCAGCAAGCCCATCACAGATAAATCTTCCAAATGTATCAAATTTGGATGTCAACAATCCAAATTGGTTCAGTGTTTGTGAATTTACTTTATAATGTTTTCCCCAAATGATTTAAAAAATATCTATGGGAGAGAATAAATACATCAGCTGCAGTAACTATTGAATATTACTTTAAAATCAGTTTCCATTTTGATCAGTTTCAAAAATCTAGCAGGCTAACAGATATTATCATTCTGAAATGCCTTGAAAGTTTTGTTAATATAAGTTATTTGCTTCTAATTCACTAATCAGCTATATAAATATTCAAGTTCAATATTACTTGTACAATGAATAATACTAGTAACATTGGACGATAGAAAAAGCTGAATACTCTTAACAGGAAGTATTGCATATTCAACAGTCAATTTTTTAACAAAAAGTAAACATATAACAGGACAGATATCTGAGTCCATATTTTGCTCATTTTAGTACATTACAAAATAGTATCCAGAGTTAATTTATTCCCTTCACTTTTTCTCTTCAATCTATATATTCTCTTAAAACATGAAAGCAATCATGTAATATAATATTTTGACAAAGTGAGGATAAAGGCACACTTTTCTTTGGCTCAGTTCTGCTATGTAGAATAGCTAGGAGATCCTTTATTTCACACTCTCACATTCCCGATATTAATGTGCAAAGTTAAGAGGGGAGGTGCGAAGAATCAAAATTCTGATGTCTAAAAATAACTGTGCAAGCTCTTCAGGAAATATTATTTCCAGGGATATCAGCAATCCAAAGAAAGATGTACAATGTGACTTTTATATAGCAGCTTTCTTCTCAGAGGGATCAAGTAGGATTTCCGGATTAACCTCTTTAAAAATAATTGTTTTAAATAAATTATCTTGTCTAAAAGTTAGTGTTCCTTAAACCTACAAAAGAATGGAAATATCAGAAAGTGAAAAACAAGAAATCTTATGAATTAAATTTATATATTTATATAAAGAAAGATGTATAGACATTTAGGTTTATCATATCAGGACTTTAAAGATCTGGATGACCACTAGATAGGAACAGATATACAGGTAATTCTTGATTTACAACCATTCATTTAGTGACTGTCTGAAGTTACAACAGCACTGAAAAAAGTGACATAACCATTTTTTTTACACTTAGGACCACTGCAGCATCTCCATGGTTGCGTGATCAAAATTCAGGTGTTTGGCAACTGGCATGTATTTATGACAGTTGTACTGTCCTGGGGACATATGATCACCATTTGTAACCTCCCAAAACTTGGAATGGGACAACTCTCTGCAACCATCTCACCGCGACCAACCCAGCATGGCCATCTCGCTGCAGGACAACTCGCCACGGGACGGTTCCACACAGGATAATTCAATGCAATAAATGTTGTCTGCCACTGTTTCTTCAATATTATTTCCATTGACCAAAATGGAAATAATGTAGAAGAAGCAGTGGCGGAGAACATTTATTGAGATGAGTTATCCTGCATGGCTTGGCGAGTTGTCCTAGACCCTTCCCAGTTGACTTCCAACAAACAAAGTCAATGGAGGAAGCCAGATTCACTGAATGACCACATGATTTAGTTTATAACTGCAGTGATTTGCTTAACAGCTGTGGCAAAAAAAGGTCATAAAATGTGGCAAAACTCACTGAATAACTGCTTTGCTTAGCAATGAAAATATTGGGCTGAATTGTGATCATAAGTTGAGGACTAGTGTCTGGAGCTTTGTACCTTGTACTATATACAGTAGGGGTACAATTGCTTTTTCTTAAACAAAAGAGCACACAAAATAGAGAGCTGTTATTCTACTTATATATTTACTGTAAATCACAGCTCTAGAAATTTAAAACAAATATGGATACTTTAATAAAAATAGCATTACATACAGAAAAGTTAAAATGATTTAAAAAAAATGAATTTATTTACAGAAAAACTGTAGCAAGTACTTTAAAAAAAAGTACAGCATTTTTACACCTCTTTTTGTGAAAGAAGTGAGAAATTTGTGGCTGAATACAATTCTCAGCAGTGCACCCAGGATGGCCTCTGTGGAAGATATATCGCAAGCTGTTTTGATTGAGAAACAGAATTACAAATTACAAAAAGAGAAAAAGTGGTAACAATGCTCTATGAAAAGATATATAATAAAAAATGAACGTTAAAATAGGCCAGAATTTTTTTTAACCATGCAGAAACTTACAAGGTCTGGTCAAGACTACACTGAAGTTCCTTTCGTATAAGGCGGAGTAAAAACTGTAAAAATGTTTAAAAATAATTGAATGTAAAATGTTAAGAGCAACAAGAAACAAAAAAAAATGAATTAATGACATCAATTCTTTATCTAAATATTCATTTGCTGAATGTTTGAGAACACCAATTCTTCATTTCAATCTTTAAAGAAAGGCATTTGACCACCTGGTTGTGTGTGGGAAACTTAAAGGAAGTGACAGCACATTCAGATTCCTAGTAACTCGTTGATGTATATTTTAGGTTTATCTCCTGACCAAAGTGGAGAAATTTAGAACAAACTTCAGAATTATTTCCATAAATCCACTAAGAATAAAACTAGGGCCTAACAATGTAGCAGCGTAAAATCACTACCATGTAATTGTGAATCTTTATAATATGTGGTTTTGCAGCAGTCATTAGCTTATGCAAATAGCTGTCTCTTGTGGAAATTTATTTCAGGCCATAAGGAAAAATTAGATTATAACAGTCTTGTTTTAGTTGTTGTGTGTGCCTTCAAGCTCGTTTTTGTTTCCTGGAAATTGCCTGGATTAGTCTCTGTAATTTTCTTGGCAAGTTTTTCAAAAGTTGTTTGCCCTTGCCTGCTTCCTAGGACTGAGAAAGAGTGACTAATCCAAGATCACTCAGCTGGTGTTGTGCCTAAGGAGGGCCTAAAATTTATGGTCTCCTCGTTTCTAGACTGTGCCTTAGTTACTACATCAAACTGGCTCTTATATTTTAGTACTGTAGGAATAATCTTTGTGATGCTATTTGAGGAACAAATTTTTAAATATCATTTTTTAATGATATGTTCATTAATGTTACTGTTAGCTAACATACAAACTATGATATCTACTGGTGAAACTTATTTAAATAAATGTATTCTATCTTTCCAGTAAAAATATTTTAACAAGCATACAGAAACTGAAATACAATTAGCCCAGCATATATCCAAATGTCCCTTTGGGTAAAGTGCCCACACTGTGGAAGTTCATGCTTTTACAGAAGCATTAACAATTGATTATACCACATTTCAACAAATAAGGGAGCAGCACTACGGTACAGTATGTCTTACCACTAAGGCACAGGCATCTGCTATCATCAGCATGTAAAAGACATTGTTCCAACCAGATGAAGAAAGAAGACCAGCTAACAATGGCCCCAATGCTGCACCTAAAATACCATGCACATACATTAAATACAGTGTGGGATCTGAGGCATATAATACTTCAGAATGAGCTTGAAAACTCACAACTGGATAGATTTGCAAACTATTCTGAATGACAACAAATCCGGCCCATTTTTCTTCCTATCCTCAGCCATTTCCATGTGCAAATCATAAACGGAATCACAGGGCTGATGGTAAGCTAGTCCTCTTGTGACATTCACTTCACTTGGTTGTAGTTGGTGTAATGGGAGTGCTAGAAGAGCATCATTTTCAAGATTCACAGCTTGGGGTCTTGTCAAACTTACCAACTTTTTATTGAAATGTCAATGTAACTAACATATTTGCATAAGGATCCCACCACTGCACTGCACTACCCTGCACTGCATTGCACATGTCTGTGTGTACCTTCATCGTTGAAAAAGGATTATGATTTACAACTGATGCACATAGGCACAGGGCGCATCCCTACCATGACCTTCTTTTAAACTAAATCTCACACTGCTTGAGCATTCTCAAAATCTGGAGAGGACCAGACCGGGAAAGGCTGGTCAAGAGTTTCTTATCAAACTTTTCAGCCTTTTGTTCTTGAGGATGATATCATACCTACGGAGCCTGTTCCGTCAATGATGGCTGTAACAGTTGAGAGAGCTTTTGCGTGTCCATGAAGACTTTTATGCGTACCCTTTAAAAACAAAATATTCAGATAGAAATAATTAAACACAGAGAAGAAAGACAGTGATAATCTTCAACTTACGTATATTGTAAATCTTTCTCACATTATTTGATGTAACACTGAAAAAACGTAAGTATAATATTGCTACTGAATATCACTAATACACAATATATTTTTCTCCTCCTCTAGAATTTATGTTCTGAATTTTTATATGTACTTATTAAAAATAATACAACAAAAATACTGTAGCAGATAAGATGCTGCATATAGAACAGAAAAGGACTTACCAGGTCAGCAGAGACAGCTGTTGTGATCAATGCATACGGACCATTTACAAGAGCTCCACAGATGAGCAGCATAACTTAAATTTAAAAATTAAAGTTAGTATGTATTTAATATCATCAATAGTCAGCAGATGCAGGACCTGTTATTTAATTTTATCAAACATTGGAAAGCTCATACTAATTTGCTATTGAAAGGAATAGACACAAGGAAAAACATATGAGTATACTCTGCTAAATTCAAATTCTAATTTTATTTGGAACTTGGTAAACTAAGAACCTTTACAATAGTTGTGTCTCTTGAAGCACATAAAGGAAACACATGGTGCAATCTTTTAAAATACCCCTTTCTAAAGGAAGTATCACTAAGGTCGATGGTGTTCATGCTCTTTATTGTAACGAAAAGAAGATTTTTATTGCGGTCATTAACCAGCACAGCTATTTATAACACAGCACATAGTGACCTGTACTTCCCCTTGGTTTATTTATTAGGTTTTTATCCTCCCTTTATTACTTTATAAATAACTCAAGGTAACAAATATATTCCTTCCTCCTCTTGTTTTCCCCACAACAGCAGCCCTGCGAAGCTATGAAAGAGTGACTCACTCAAAATCACCCAGCTGTCTTTCCTGCTTCAGGGAGGACTAAAATTCACTGCCTTGCTGTCTAACCCAGCACCTTAGCTGCTGGACCTAAGTATCTTAACAATCAGTGGTTAATAAACAATAGTTAATTGCTATATGCAATTAAAGAACTGATAAATATAAACATTGTAATGGTTTACTAATACCCTACCATCCACTAAAGCAATGACTATAGCTAGAAAGAATCAGTGTTGTTTTTTCTTATTACCAAGCTAGAGAAATGGGAAATATTTTATTGAAGAAGAAAATATTTCTTCTTTTTACCATCTATGCAATCCTAGCTTCTAGTCTAGTGTTTTTAGACAATAAATTGAGCATTGGGGAAGGAAGAGGGGGAGAAGAAGAGAGCAAGAAATGACAGTGATCTGGTAGTGCTTTCAGTTGGGTTGGGCTACAATACTTGATAAATGCTTGTGGCCTACACTCTGTTGATCAGCAGACTTCCTTTATGAAAATAAGAGCTGTGTAAACTATTTATTTCTATCAGTTTGTCTGATCTGATTGTCTTTCCTTAGTTGTTGCAAAGTATGATCTGACAAGAAAGAAAACAAGGAATGGCTCAGATCATAGGTGTTGCTATGACTATTACTGTTCTGAGAAACAAAGATTCATGAATTACCCTACTCTTATGAGTGAATAAGGAAAACAGAAATGAAGTGAAAAAATATATAATTATGAATTACAGTTTTAAAGCTGTATTCATTACATATAAAATGAATATCTCAATTTTCTCCACAAAACTGCCAATATTTTCATATACATAGCTTGATGACTTCATCCCTTGAGAAAGTCAGCATAAAAGAAAGAAGATGTAGAGAGGCCTGGATGACATAACTTGAAGTGGTATCACTTAGAACATCAAGATTTAGTCTCTCTAGTTTTAGAGAGCTTTAAATGAAATTATAGAATTTGTAGGAAAGTACATTATGATGGAACATTAGACAATCCTTTTTATCAGTACCAGCAATTCCACCAATTAATGAGTTTTGGTAGAGTCTTCATCACTGAATGGGTTAGCCATTTATCTGAGATGCTTTACCTGGTTTCTTGCACTGATTTGGCAGTTGAACCCAATGGCTAAATGGCCTTTCCCATCTATTATTAAGCATGTCACATTTCCTATTAATAATAATTCTTATTCTTAGTATTGATTATTAATATTCTTATTAATTATTATTTCTCATTCATAGAATTAATAATTAAAATGATTATTTATTAATTCTCCTTATTATTCTTATTATTAAGCACATCATATCTTTTCTTCTTCTCTAGGGAGAATTGCCTGTCACCTAGAGCCATGATGACGAACCTATGGCAGAGGTGGCATGAAGAGCCTTCTCTGCTGGCACGCACGTTGTCGCCTCAGGTCAGATCTCCTTGGCGTTTCTTTCATGAGCTTCTGTTTCCCTGCAAACGACGAAACAGAAGCTCACAAAAGAAAAAGATCTTACCTCTTGCCGCGCTGTCGGTGTTGGGGTGCCCACCTCCCGCTGGTCTTTGGGTCTCTGCTACACATGCGCATGCGCATGCGCACACCTTTCAGTTTGGACATGCGCGCACACGCAATTTGGGCACTCAGTGTCTAAAAAGTTCACCATCACTGACCTAGAGTATGACAACCTTCCCCAGTCTTATGCTTTCCAATTGTAATCCAGAAAACATCTAGCGGGCACCTTATTGAGGACATTTTCATCGATACACATCATTTGAAAATTATTTGTTTTGTGAATCTTTCATTCAGAATAATTTATTTGGTTTTAAATTATCTCAGTGTGACCCAGACTGCTAGTTTTAACCATAAAAATTCCAGAGTTAAGTAAGACTTGCAGTGGATTTATATTTAAACAACCCAAATGAAGGGGGTAGGGGGAAGAAAAAATAAAGCATAAAACTTACTTATTGTGGCTACAAAACCCATTTTGCTGATTGCAGAAAATATGTACAGCTAGGACAAATACAAGTAGCAGAGTTAGTTCAAATCATTCTGTAAATCAAGGGGTCTTGCTAGATGTCAATTACAAAATTAGCATTATTTTTCATTCTAGAATTCTATTTTCATTTGTCATTATTCAAAATGGCAGAAATGGGTATAGTTTGTTCTAGAGAAAGAAAAATGCTTAAATGCGCACAACACTAGGGTACAAAAATGCAAATATATTTCATTAAGCCTGCTTTTGCTTATATATTATAACTCAAAAAGCTATCAACACTTTCATCATCGTCATCATCATCATCATCCACCATCTCATAACTTACAGTGGGTCCAGCTATCAACAGCATCATACCACAAGTTGTAGCCCTTTTTTTGAGCCTGTCTGATATTACACCTGCTAAAATTCCACCTATAAAAAAGAGAGAGGTGCAAAATGTAGCAACGTTCTTTGCACATTCAAAACTGAACAAAATAACACTATAAAATAAAAATTCCTTAATTTTTAGGATTTTTACATCTTTATATGTACAGTATAATTTATATGATTTTTATATCTTTATATGTACAGTATATTATTCATGAAGCAATTTTTTTTGTCTTTTAATGATCCCGTAATCCCTTGCATCAGGGTGGAGTAGGGGCAACTGAATGGAGCTGAGTGTTTACTGGCCTTCCTGTCACCAATTCAGAGTTCACAACAGATATTTTCACATCGTGTCCAGAGAGAGAAATATCTGCTGCTACCTAGGATCAAACTCACAGCCTCCTGATTGTGAGGTGAGAGCTCCACCACTAGGCCACTGAACCACTCTTCATTCACAAAGCTATGATTACCATTAATTCTGCCATGACAAATCTCCTCTATTTGCTCAACTGACAACAATGAATATTTGTCTGTTTTTATCATCCTCTCCAACTCCACCCCAGTCACTCACTTCATATTTTCTACTGCCACATAGCATAACTGAGCAAAAATACCACTTCACACCAAGCTGCTATAGATGTGGAAAAAAAATAAAAAAATCCTTCACTTCCGACCCTTACAAAATGGGAATAGCTCACTCGCATCTCCATCATATCCTTTGTTTATGTTGTATGCTTTATTTACAAATATGCACAAATAAATCTGAGCACTTCCTATGAGGATTAAATGAAAAACTCTTATATCATTTTTCCTTTGAAAATCTTGCTAGGATCAAGGAAGGATGAGGGGGCCTAAAAATGATGAACTAGAAAGAGCAGCAGCATTTCAAAAACTTTTATTATGGATTGAAATACAGCACTGCTGAGCCAGAAGTAAAGAAGCTCAGTTCTCACACACATTAAATAAATCATAAAGGAGCAGAGCTGATTTTCAAAGTGATAGGAGTTTCTCTACAGAAATCACATTGCTGAACCCTATAAATGTTCAATTTCTACTCTGTTAGCAGTACTATTTGTTCCATTATTTCAGTTATCACTGTTTGCTCCCAAACATATTTTTCTTATCTACTTGATATAATATGGTATACCACTATATTTTTGCCAATCTTTTACTTACTAGGGAAAGGTATTGGTCCTGAATCCATTCAGAGACTTTTCAGAACTATTTTTCTACATGAGTTCTGAATGCTGCAATTTCTATCCAACTTCTAAGGTGGAAGGGATGGAGAATGCTTGGGGAAAAGTGAAAGCAATGGAAATAAGTTGTGCCTCTCTGAGAAAACGTTTCAAGGTCACTCCGCTATCTGAAGAATGCAGCTGCAAGCCAGTCTACACTCAGAGTGACCATTTCAAAAACATCTTCTTTGAAATTGATTGGGCGATGGGGGGGGCAGCAATGGGAAGTGCCTAAGAGGGGGAAAGTCACACTTGGGGATTTGGCATGCAAATTTCAGTTCTGGCTTTGCTCTACTGCATTTCACTTGACCTTTAGTAAACTATATCTTTCTCATCAAATGGAGTCAAAGATTGTTCTTACTTAAAAGTTCAAGTTGAGACAGGTCTGACAGTTCCATTAAAGACAGTTCCATTATTGAGAAAGTAAGTAAGTAAGCTTTTATTGCGGTCAAAGACCAAATTAAAATACACATAGAAGGGGAGTATAATTTTACAAATATAGATAGATCATGTGACAGTACACCATCTACTGCCTTAGATACACTCTGTACTAACAATACTAGTGATCCTCTGCCGTAGAGGTTACCCATCTCTTCCCCCGTTTTTTTTCAGCCACGACTGCAGCAAAATTTTTTGCCACCTTGGGAGTTATATTGGGGTCTGTGTCCTGGAGTAGGAAATAAAGGCTGAACAGATCAGGTGAACCAGGGAATCTCTGTGAAATAGGAGAAATGAATCTTGATCTTATGTCTCGGTAGTGGGGACATACGAATGTAATGTGGAACAGAGATTCCAGGGATCGGACATCACATGTACAATAGATGGATTTTACTCCACCCGAGAGCCTACTCATTATTGAGAAATAATTTTCTCAAGTCAGCAACCAAGCTTTAATTATCAGCATCTACTCCCTTTTTTAAAGCATTTCTTGTCTCTAATGCTTCAGAATTCGATTTAAAAATCCAAAGACTCATATATGTGTAGGTTTCAAAAATAATAAACAGGTCATAGTTGCACACTCACCAAAAATTCCTCCAACATCAAATAGAGTAGAAAGATCACCTGCCCTTTTGGCATCAAGATGCTCTACCAATGAAAAATAAAAATATATCAGTAACAGTTTAAATATTTTCAAGTGCCATAAAATTTCCCAAGAAAGCAGGTACAGCATATCTAAATGACTTTTTTTGAACTATAATAAAGAGAAACAAATTATTGGATCATTTGGAATCATGCTGAACCTTTTTGCATCCCATCTTGTGCCTAGTACTAGAGTAGAGGAATCTTATGTCTGATATTAAGCTATATGAAAGGAAAAAACCCTCTGAGATAGAATTTATTTTGTGATTTTTTAATGTATTTCTTCTTCTCTTAATAAAGGACTGTTCTAATATATTTCAATATGTACAAGTAACGGATTGTATGTTTTATTCTTACAAATACTTTTAAAAAATGAAGTTTCTTTCTCCTAGAATTAGTTTCTCATAATTTTTACAAAATGCAAATGAATTACAATAAGGCACTAGAGAACTCATGCTCCATTCGGACATCATTTCAGAAATATTTCCTCACCTAAATGGACAAACAGAATGACCATTGGTTGGCAAAAAAAGCAAATGACTTCTTGCCAGCTTCCATATTGAGTTTCCTTGTGGGAAGCTGGCAGAGCGCATCAGAAAAGTTCCTTCCTTCCTTCCTTCCTTCCTTCCTTCCTTCCTTCCTTCCTTCCTTCCTTCCTTCCTTCCTTCCTTCCTTCCTTCCTTCCCTTCCCTTCCCTTCCCTTCCCTTCCCTTCCCTTCCCTTCCTTCCCTTCCTTCCCTCCCTCTGTCAACTCACGAAGCATTCCTGACCTGCTCTCAAATTGCCATAGGCAGGGGGATGGGGCACTGAGCCTTGCAGCTGCATCAAGGAACTTGCATTTCAGTCAAAACAAAGCACATTTTATCTGGCAATGTCAAGGTCATCTCCATGGAGACACACAGTGGCCAGAGGGAGTGACTTCTACAACCCACAAAATTGCTTCGTTGGGGAATGTGACTGATGACACACCTTGGGGGGAGGGGGAAACAGGGTCAGAGCCAAGGTGTGAATTAAGTGAGGTCAGAGTTGACTTCACTTGGTCCATGCTGACATGAAGCTCCTAATAAACAACTGGATTACTTTTGAAGCTTGGCTTGAGGCTCATGATTTAACTAGGGCATCAGTCGGAAGCCTGGCACCCCGTTTCCATTCTTTTCTAGCGGGCAGGTAAATGGCTGTTGGGTAAGATAGGGAGCAAGAGATTGCAAGACTGGCTGGGAAACATATATCCTAATTTTTTTCACACACACCTCAGTTTCTTGTATCTCTCTATTCTTTCTTACTCCAATCAGCAATTGTTATGAGCAGATATTTAGCTGATGAAATTGTTATAGAACATACACATTTTTAGCAAATGGTACTTTATATAATTAGATATAATCAAGCTTTTTGTTTAACTTACAAAAATGACTTAATTCATCACATCTATTAAATCAAACTGAGAAATGTTTGCCTGTTATTATACTTTATTTATTATTTTTTAAAACCACAACTCCCAAAGGACTCAGTTGAGTAAACTTGTGACTCACTGAATTTTTAATAGCATACCTGGAAAAAGTTTAACCATATTGAACTCTCTCTCAAATATGATTTGTGACAATATTTTATATGGCCAGTCTTACATCATTCTTTAAACTAGACACTTACCTACATTAGTGATGTATAGTGGTAGCCAGAAAAGAAAAGTGTAACTGACTAATTTGGCAAATAATAGGCAGAGAGAGAATTCTACCACTCCCTGCAAAGAATGAAAAATAAGATTAATTTGAAAAGAAAAAAACAATAAGTATTTTACCTTGGGCTAATTTTTGTGCAAGGATTTCTGTACAACATATATGTTCACTATTATAGAGATATAGTTGAATGATAATATAGGATCATGCATAAACAGCCTATAAGGGGTAACCATTGATACAAAGCAAACAGCATGGTCTGCAGTCACATACCCTCTGTAAGGGTATATAGCCAATAAAATTTATTTCAATATATGGGATAATGGATCCATCAGAAGGTTCCATTGCAAATCAACGAATAAAATAACATCCAATAAAACTCTTTTGCTATCATTTAAGAGTGACTGTGATCTTGGAATCTTTTGAACTTGGGGGAGGGAGGGAGGAATCTTCTTGCATAAACCATTCTAATTTCTCTCCTCTGTTAACAGCCCTTTTTGCTAATTGAATGTTACGCTGTCTAGAGGGTTTCCTTCTCTGGAGTAATACCCACTAATGGTAATTCCAAAGCCATGCATTAACAACAAACCTGATTGATTCAGGTTTCAGTTTCATTAAATCTTCTTCTTTCAAATGAATTATTGTTAAATTGTCAAATTCACTTAGTGTGTTGAATAAAATCAGGTGCTTTCAGTTTGATTCGAAGATCCAGCAGCCTTTTGCACATGTGTACACATACTTTGATACAGTAGAACTGAATCTTGAAATCAAAGAGATTCAAATCTGATTGTAAATTCAAATTAGAAATTGGTTGATTTGCATACTTCTAATGGTTTTATTCCCATAGTCTCCACATTCAAATTAGAATTTGGCTGATGTGCGTATTTCCAATGATCCCCTACTACCATTATTAGAGAAGCTGGCATACTCACAGGTATTTGCAAAGCACCAGTGAAACTTATAGCAGCATTTCTATTTTCAAAGTGTTCATATCCTCCATTAAGATTCAGCGGCTTTGTGCAATTCTCATTGCTCCGTAACAGACAATGCATTTCTGGATCCTATAAAAGACACCATCAAACTCAGTGTAGGCAGTATTTCTCTTCTCTTTATAAACTAAGCAACTGAAATATTGTAATGTACCAGTAGTGAGTTTCAAAACCTGGTGCTACCGGTTCACTATTGGTAGTACACAGGCATGCTCGCTCGCTTTGTGAGTATGTGGCGCTTCTGCGCATGCGCAGATAATTTTTGATGATGTCTGGGCGGGTGGGCGGAGCTTCCCACCACCACCACTACTGGTTCACTCAAACCAGGGTGAACTGGGAGCAACCCACCAGTGTAATGTACAGTAAAAAATATAATAATGATATATTGATATGCTATTTATATACTGAATACTAAGGAAACATTTCATGTTCTATGTTCTATGTGTAATGGCAGAAGAGGGAAGCCCATCCAGATCAGAGACCTCCCATTTCCACCCCTGTGGACTAAAGGCCAAGGTGGAAGACTTCAGATTTCTTCAGGTTTCTCTAATCCCTGTTCCTGCTTTTGAGGTTAATTTTTTTCTGTTCAGTGAGGTGGGTACAAGGAATCATTACCGTTTGCCTTTTCCTTCTCAGGAAAAGAAGCAAACAAACAAAAAGCAGTTCCTGTCTTTACACAAAGATTGCTTGTCTTTTTCTGAAGGGCAAATGTGCTTGCAAATGCTATAAAACAGTCAGAAAGAGGTTTTGTTTTTTCAATGCGAACAAAGCATGCTTATTTATCCCTTTGCTCAGAGCACAGCTATGGAGTAGAAGACAGTGCTTCTGAGTAACTATTATGATTTAATTAAGAGGGAGGAATAGGAGTTTCTCTAATTTTCATTCCACATATTATGGACTTTCCATGTGAAATTTACAGTTTTCTGTAAGTATAGAACTAAATAGATATTGTTGCTGATAGAGTTACAGCATTGCTTAAGCCACAGTTCCCTCACATTACAAAAAGATAAGTTGTATCCTTAGATTTCACTTAAAAAGTCTTTCCCGATGAAAGTAAGAAAGTTTAGGTATACACAGAACATCTCCATTCTCAGGATAAGCTTTGTTTCCCTGACATTATCTTAACTTTATTTTCTTGTTGCTCAGATTTCTTATCTGGTATGGGCTCTTTGTGAGGCCTATTGTACTTATTTTATATTTGATTTGATCTGTTTGCCACCCGTCTTGTTTTGATGCAACTATAGGCGGCTTACAAACATTTATCCAGTGCATTAGTAAAGGAATCAGTATTTAACAAGCACATTGGCAAAGTAACACAATGATGACCCTTCCTTAAAACTTTGGAATGTTTAATAGGAAGACTTTGGAGTCTGGCTCCAAGAATGGTTAGAGTCATAAATTTGAGTTCGGTATAGAATGGAATCAGGATTTGGGTCAATTAGAAAGACCACTTTTCCTATTCTATCATCTGAACTGGCTGTTTCATCTTTCCTAAGGGTAAAGCCAGCACTATCAGACTCTAACAAGGTATTTTTAAAGCAGTAAAAGTAATCACCCACCCAAATTAAACACACACTGATACACTGATCTACACAAGGACATATAAATGAAAATGAGATCTGATTATGAAGAATTGGAACAAATGTGATTAAGCAAAGACTATTTCATTAAGCTGCAAAAATTAAAAGTACTTTAAAACTATTTATGAAAATATTTTAGCTTTACCTGAGATGTATCTGCTATCTTACTGCTTAATGCTGGCTTCAAAATGCTGAATTTACTTGGGCCACTCAGGTGATGTTTCTGAAAGGTATTGTAATAGGTGCAATTAAGAAGGATGTGGCAATAGAAGATGGGGAGGGCAGGGCAAAGGAGCTAGGACTGGAGCAACAAGAGGAACAGCAGGTACTGGGTTTATTTACAATAGAGGGATGGTTTGTGCCATCTCTATAAAGAGGATATTAGTAGAAATAAATGGCCTTATTTGATGTTAATCAATGGGCATATTTTATTTTAATTCATTTTATTTTATGTAATCAATGTTCTATGACTACCCAATTCACCAAAACAATTCTGTGTGGCTAACATAAAATTAAAAACAGTATTAACAAATATAGAAACAAACAAACATATATACATCTCTGAGATGATCACAACCAACATCCCAACTAAAATGCCTAGTGGGAAAACTAGGTTTTTAATCTTTTTTGAAAGGTTAGTGGGGAGGGGATAAGACAATGGGGAGGGGGAGATCACTCTAAAGGATAAGCATTGTCATAAAGAAGGCAAATTTCCTGGGTCCAACAACATGAAGTTATTATCTCATGAAGGATCATGACCAGCTTGGAACAGTATGTGGGACAAGACAATATAACCAGAGATGGTCCCACAAACAAGCTAGTCTTGTGTTATGTGGCAGTTTATGGGAGATAACCAGCACCAAAGATTGTACCTGGAAGCCTACTGGAAGTCAGTGAAGCTTTTGAATAGAGGAATTACATGGGCATACTGTGATTCGCACATAGCTACTTGTGTGCTGTGTTCTGGACCAATTGCAGCTTCCCAATAGTCTTTGAGGGCAGGCCATATAGAAAACACATTAGCGTAATCCAGTGGGAGAACATTTGGGGCATCCTGAAACTATTGAATAAAATCATCTCATCAATTTTGGTTCAAATGCTTAATAAGATAAACCAGTATGTGCACGTATAGTGCCCCAATCTTTGAGAATCACAGCAGTTTTGCTGGAACACCAAATTAAAGGAAGGAAGGTGAATAAGTTATTTTCCAAGATTGATTTTTTTCCCTAACTCCCCCTCTCCCCCAAAAAACATCAGCTGTCAGATATTGTTAAAAACACCACTTTACTTACAGTTGAGGATTTGACTGTACAGTTTACATCCTTAGGATCTGAAATTATGCAATAGGAAATAGAATTAATTAACATGCATATGGCATGTTTTTCAAAATATTGTGAACTATTGCAATAAAAAACTATTATTGTGAAAGGGCACAATAATGGAAAATTGTCATAAGTATGAACCTACATCTAAACTTGTTAAACCTACATCTAAACTTGGAGATCGGCTAAGGTTACAGATTCTGTCCTATCCTGAATTCAGTTCTACCTTTCTAGGTTCTACCATATCTCACGACCTAAAATGGACACCCAACATCAAAAATGTCATAAAAAAAGCACAACAAAGAATGTTCTTTCTGCACCAACTCAGAAAGCTCAAACTGCCCAAGGAGCTGCTGATGGAGTTCTACAGAGGAATTATTGAGCCTGTCACCTGCACCTCTGTAACTGTCTGGTTTGGTTCTGCAACCCAACAAGACAAACACAGACTTCAGAGGATAATTAGAACTGCAGAAAAAACAATTGCTACCAACCTGCCTTCCATTGAGGAACTGTATACTGCACGAGTATACTGTATGTATACTGCACTGTATATATACTGCACTCCTACCCTCAAAATGATGCTGTAGAGCATTGCACACCAGAACAACTAGACACAAGAACAGTTTTTTCCCGAACGCCATCACTCTGCTAAACAAATAATTCCCTCAACACTGTCAAACTAATTACTAAGTCTGCATTACTATTAATCTTCTCATTGTTCCTATCACCCATCTCCTCCCACTTATGACTGTATGACTGTAACCTTGTTGCTGGTATCCTTAAGATTTACATTGACTGTTTCCCTATGACTATTATTAAGTGTTGTACCTTATGATTCTTGATGAATGTATCTTTTATGTACACCGAGAGCATATGCACCAAGACAAATTCCTTGTGTGTCCAATCACACTTGGCCAATAAAGAATTCTATTCTATTCTATTCTATTCTATTCTATTCTATTCTATTCTATTCTATTATTCTATTCTATTCTATTCTATTCTATTCTATTCTATTCTATTCTAATCTATTCTATTCTATTCTATTCTACTCTGCTCTATTCTATTTTGTTATTTGACAAAGAAAAGCGAGGAAATGTTATTTTATGGCTGTGAATAGCACTGATTGATTGATTCCAGATGAAAATGATGTGTGTGTGTGTGTGTATTTGTGGATACACACACACACACACATACATTTTTATACACATACATATACCTATATACATTTTTACATATATAAACATATATAAATCCATTTCACCATAGGTACTTACGTTCAATAAGAAACAGGTAGCATATAATCCCCATTAAGGATATTATAATGCCAGGTACCACAAAAGACAAACCCCAGCAGGTAGATACCCAGTAGCCAGCTATTAAGGATCCTAAAATATTTCCTACTGAAGTGTGGGAATTCCATAATCCCATTATCAATCCTCTCCTACAATGAATGAAAAAGAAAAAAAGGTTAATATTCTCATTGACATTAACTATGTGGAGTGGAATTATTTGCATATTTAAATTTTAAGACTCTAAAAGAGATTCTGCATGTACAGGCAGATTTAAACACAGGATTGGTCTGCATTGTTTTTGGTACCTTTCATAAATTTCACACTAAGATGGGAATTAATTTGTTTTGTGGTTCCAGATCACAGCAGTATATTAACACACTAATCCTAAATTATTAGCTTTATATTCTGGTTTTTATTCTTGAACTCAGAGCCATATGTAGTACTCTCTCTTCTTATTTTTTTCCACAACGATCCTGTAATATATATTGAGTTGAGAACAAGTGAGGTTCTGGTTTAGCAACAGGGAAATTAAAATGAATCAGATCTGTCCATGGCTTGGACTGACTGATTTTTTATAAGCTCCATTGCTTGGGGATCATTCTTAAAGACGCCGATTGTGACCTAGAGAGCCAATCAGTAGCATGTACTGTATTGTTAAAGGAGGAAAACACAATTCCAAAGGATGAGAACAATGTCTAATCTCTCATCCATAAGCTTTCCTCTGTTCACATGGGCCAGGCACATGTACAGGCACATAGGCACATATTGCTGGCTACATTTTAGGGTTTCTTTCCAGGATACATGTGACACTAAGACAGTAGACTTGAAACATGCCTTTTATGAGTTAAAACAAGCAAGCAAAAAGAAAAATCTATGATTGTTTCACAATATCATTTTTTATTACAAACAGCAAAACCCGTAATAAACTTCAACCTGCCATCTCTAATTGCAGACTTTGAGGAAACCTGGGAGTTCAGGGCCACCTGGATTCTGTTTATTCAGAGCCTGATTCACACAGGAACCACATGTTAGGCCTGCTTTTTGTCTCATGGCAGTGGCATGGTGACCTGGAGCCATAATATATAGTCATCAGTCCTTTGTCATGGACAGACCAGCCCATTAACCTTGGATTTTAATTCATTTTTCCCTACTGCAGGGAGGCCAGTTCTATTTGATTGGTTCACCCCAGGTACTTAAAAGATCTGATAGAGATTCAGAGGGAACTTGAGGTTGTCACTGAAACACTGATAAGGATTCATCCAGGACTTTTGTTGCCAGTAGAATGAGGGAGCAATAGACTTGTATCACATTGTGACTCTATGGACTCTGTGCACAGACCTTGCTGGGACCTCTGGTTTATAGATGACCTCCCAAAGACCAAAAGAGATGTTTACAGGACCACTAGAGGAAGACAAAGTATGACCCCTATATAGGTAGGAACCTTTCTTAAAGCACTCCCCCCCCCTCCCGGCCTTCAACTCAATTGTGGTTGATTTTCAGAGAGTACATGGGTAATTCCATGCAATTTTCTTGGTAAGGGTTTTTCAGAAGTGATTTGCTATTGCCTCTTTCATAGGCCTGAGAGAAAGTCTAGCCCAAGGTCACCCAGCTGGCTTTGTGCTTAAGAGAGGAATAGAACTCACGGTTTATTAGTTTCTACCCTTAACTACTACATCAAACTGGCTCTCACTTAAAGATTACCTTGTAGCTATAGCAAAACATGCTTATGCCCTTGCTTTTATTTTATTCTTTGAGTGCAATTCACTTACTGTTCAGGCTAACTTGCTCCCTTCTGATGAAGAGGAGAAAGAGTACAGACAGACTGCTATGATGACCATTCTTGGCACTCAGTGGACAAGTTCTGCAAATTCGTGCTGAGTTGTTGGTGAGATATGGCCTCTCACCTCACACAAGGTGGCAGTCATGGCCAAGAGAGCCTTTGTGCAACTGTGTACAGGAGTGGGTTTCTGTGGGAATGCTTCTTCCTGATGGTATCTCTCCATCCCACAATGCTTTAGTAGGACGGGCATGCTCTGGGACTGTTCTTGGAAACAACGTCATCTGATGGGACAGGACAAGTATTCTCTTTTCACTGTGGCATCTGCCCTCTGGAACAATCTCTCACCTCCCCCACTTCCTTATCTAGTTGAACCCAATCTCTTTAGTTTTCAGGACAACCCTAAAAAATTGGGGCCAAGTTGGTTGATGTAAAGTAAGCTTGAGTTTCTGGTTGGCTATTAATTTCAGTTAAAGCTTTTAAGGATACTGGTTTATTATCTGTTAATTCTGTTGTTTTCTTATTATCCATTGCCCAGGGTTGCAGTTGAGCCAACATGTTGAACATTTCATTCATATATAAAGGAGAATTCATTTCACAATTCTATGGTTAAAACACAACATTTATAATACTGTATATGAGCTTATCTGTGTGATGAAGCATTCTTTTATTAGAATTAGTTACTTGGCCTTTACCAGAAGATTTCTCCTCTCTACCCAGAGAGAGAAAAATAGAGAATTTACCTTCCTTTTCCAAACCAGTTGCCAATGCAGGTGACCACACTGGGCCAGCCAGTAGTTTGTACCAATCCATTAGCTACCTGAAAAGTTGTTAGTGGCAAAAGTTGTTAATGCAGCAAAATATTTCATAGCTATAATATATAGTACAATAAGCTAATATTAAATATAATATTTAAATTTATGGTACACATTCCAGAAAAATTATATTATTATTCATTAACACAATAAATTAGCCACACCTCAGGTCTCATAGTTGTCCTACTCTTTTCTGTCAGTACTATATCAAATTAGCCATTATAATTTGACCTCTCTGGGTCACTTTGAAGCATATGATCACATTTTGGCATGGTATACACTGGGTTGGTCAATGTATTTCAGGAAAGCATGGACCTGTTCTGCATGGAGGGAGGCTATTATTGTTGAAATGGATTTGTCAATGTTCAACTAAGAGGGATAATATGTGTTTTGGTCCTTTTTTTAATTTCACAATGTTTTCAATGTTTTTATTTAGCTCTGTTTTGTTTTTGTTAATTTTTTTTTCTTTTGATTTTTTTTTTTATTTTTTGAATAAAATAAAATAATTAAAAAAGAGAATTAGATGAGCCATGTAAGACCATGTAATCAATAGTTTCTAGTTATGTAATAATAACATTAAAATGCCTCCAAACTATGGTTGGGGAACATCAACAAGAAAATTCAGCAGCATAGGTGCATTTATATTCTTAGGCTGTATTTGTGAGGCTTGGAAAAATAATCTAGTCATGCTTACCTGAGCAATGATGTAGAACCACAAACTATGTATGTTACAGAAATAGCCAATTCCAAATAATGCAGTGAAGAATCCACTGGCAAGCATCCCACCACTGAGATAGTATCGAATAGGCAAACGCTCTCCTATTATACCACTTTAAATTAAGGTTAAAAAGAAGATTAATTTTGAATGCATATTGAATTAAAACTAATCATAATCATAGCTCTCTGAAAACCAAAACTTTACAAATTATTAAAATCCTCAAAATATAAAATTTAAATTTAATTTATAGAATATTTTTCCAAGATTATTAAAAATGTCTCCAGTATAATCAAGTCCAACATTTCTAGGATACCAAAGGATAGCTTGTTAAATCACTACTATTACTCAACATGAAGAGGTAGGAAAGGGGCACAGAAGCTTTGAGAACCTCAGTGAAAAGCATATAACAGGACGACAATTATTTTAAATCATTAAAACATAGGTTTTTGAGTGGCCTAAACAAATACTTTTTGGTGGACTCTATTTTACACATGGAGATATAAAGCTGGCTTAAAATGAATTACTTTATTCAGCCCAAAATAGTTTTCTTACATTTCAAAATGGAACTCTATAGCTTACCAGTAGGAGCAAGAATCACACGCATCTGAAACATTTTGGGGTTTTGCAGAGAATTGAATCAATGTCAGTTCTCGCCCAAAACACATTTGAATCCATAAGATTATGAAGTCACATTTCTTTCAACATTAATTACAATAGGAAATATTTCATGTTTTGATTTGGTTCTTCCAACATTTCTCATTTAGTAATATTCTCTTTGTTTCCTAGAAACCTCTAAGCAAAATGCTGACCAAGATCAACGATAATATAATATTCTGTATTGACGCACTGAACTCATGAAGCAAGATAAAGAGTAAGAAAATGTACCTCAGATACATTCCAACAGCATAAGCACAGAGAAATGAGTAATCCAGGGCTCCCAATAACTGCTTGTAGTTGCTTTTATCTAGGAATATACACAAACATACATATATATAGCAGTTCAAGGGACTGAATTGCTTAAATACAAATAACCTTTATAAATAGTGATTATCTATTCATATTTGTTTTTTGTATAAAAATGGCTTCAAATAATTTAAAGAGAAAATAATTTTCTCAAGGTCAAATTATAGTAAAAGAAAATATACTTTTATGATTAAAAGTATATAACTTAATAATTATACCATTAAACAAATGAAAATTGGGCAAAATTTAAAATGGCCTTTCATATCTAACTTTTAAAATGTGTCTAAATAACACTACCCCTGCATAACATGTTCTTATTCAATAAATGCATTGGGAAAAGAAGGGCATGTGGTGGCTTTGTATATTCAGCTAAACCTGTGCCAAGAACAAAGTGCTTAAATTGTATTTGTACTATCTGCCCAAAGGGATGCATAATACCATCTACAAAATCCTGGAGATGTGATGAAGAGTTGCAGTCATTATGTTTCCCTTCGCACTTGCCCTTGAATATGTCATGTGAACAACATTGCTAGTATTTGTGCTGCCTATTAATATATTTAATACTGAATTGGGAAGGAAAAAGGAATGTAATTAATTTTAAACTTCTATATCACCAATCTTTACAAGATTCAGGTCAAATAATGTAGCTTGTTTTTTTCACATTAGAGACAGAAATAAAAAATGCTTACCTAAACTTCTTTATGTTCCTGACTTAATTCAAAAAGGTACTTTCTTCTTATAAGATTAAAAAGTTCAGGTAAGGATATGTTTAGAATAAAATTGATGGAGAAATCTTTTTTGCTAATCTTTTCTAATTATTATGGTTGCTTGCCAGTCAGATAGGTGGTTAGACTGGATTTGACCTTTTTATGCAGCTACTGAGTCCTCTCCAAGGACCTGGCATTAGGTAAAAGTTTTTGTTTGAAGGTGTTAAAAGTATTGTTTGCAGGATATAAGATGTTCCAAATAAAGCTACTGTACCTTTTACAATTGACTGATGGTGAATTTATCAATTTTGATGGTGTTCAAGCAGTGCTCCAATTATTTTGGGATTGCACTCAAGACACATTATGGTTGGTCGCACACTCTTCATTATTATTATCAGAGGTAGGGAGACCTACTACTCACCAAAAGGTTCCCAGCCACAGCGAGAATCATTATATAATGTTTTAACAGATGGAATGTGGATGGCATGTTCTTCATAGGTATCCAGCTCAATAATTTGAATAGTAGTACAGTGTTTATGCAGTTCTCCCTAAATTAAAGTGGGAGAGAAGGGAAATGCTGTTGAATATTTTATTTTGTTGAGTCTTTACCTTACTGGAACAAGCTATCAGACACTGGTAAATATATTTAAAATGAAGTGAAATAAGTTATTTTATACTATATTATTTCAAAACTTGATAAGGCTGATTCAATCTTTCAAATTTTAAATAACATGCATTATTCAGTTTGAAATTTATCTGGTGTAGTACTTATTATAAAATTAAATATATTAATATTTTTCCTGATTATATTAACTTCTATGGATTATAATTTTTCTTGGCTGCATATATTTACTTTTTTTTATTTTTTATTTTTTATGATTGTTCACTGCCCAGAATCACTTGTTTGAGATGGGTGGCCATATAAATTGAATGAATGAATGAATAAGTTATCTTACTCTATATTATTTTAAAACTTGATAAGGCTAATTAGCCACGTGAAAAGTTAAATGAAAAGCATAAAAAGAACTGGATAGCTTTTAAGAGAATATCCAACATACCCAGATAAATTCATCATAACTCTATCCTTACAAACATCCTAAATGCACATTTATAATATTTCAAACATAGTGAAATTCAATTGAAATAGAGCCCTTTTAAGATATATACACAAGATTTACATATCTTTGAATATAGCATCTTTGTAGAATGTTAACCAAATAATAGTTTGTTATGAATATTTTTATGTAGTTTTATTACTGTACATCTATCTAATTCTAACTGTCATCCAGCATTTTTATACATCTACTGCATTATCATAAAGCAGTTATACTTTTAGGGAAGATAATCATATACTTCCTTGTTTGACATCATCAGGATATAGAAAAAACTTACTTCCTTTTTGCTTACCTTAACTATGCTGATTGGCTTCCTTGATAAATGAAAACTAACATACAGCATGAAAGTCAAGACAAATATGAAAGCCCTATACCTGTAACAAAACAAACATTTCATGCTTTGCAGATATTTTATTTGACAGAAATATGTTAGCAATTACTTTAGGTTGTTCTATTATATCCAGAAAGGCAGGTAAAATCAGTTAAGTAATTTTCCATTTGACTTACATTTTCCATTTCGAAATGTAACAAGGAAAAAGTAGTTTGTCATTAAAAAGAAACAGAAGGATATTTGCCATTGATTAGATAGTTACATAAAAACGTATTTCATTAGTACATTTTCCCAAAGATTAATAATTTAAGCTTTGACAGATCTTAGGTACAGTCACTCAGAAGTTGTGAACCACAAACACTGCTGGATAAGTAGGAAAATATTAGAACAGCTTCCAGATGTTCTGAAAATTGATTCATGGCCAAGGAGTGTGATATCTATATCACAAGTAAAATGGGCAATATTTCAATCAATTTCTATGGCTGTGATTTTTCAAGATATTGTCTAGTTATAAACGTTATCTAATCTCTAGGATATGAAAAACTTCATTTGTGTTTTGCATATCAAGACAGTAAGGTTTATACGACTTTCTACCTAGTTAACTGATAATCTCATGCATACTTGAACTCAATGGTTCTGATCTAAAAAAACCCACCAAGTTTAGGAATCATGCCCAACAATTATATTACAGTACTTGTTATAAATACAGTATATCTGCAGTATATTATTACAGCCATAAAAAGTATCAATGCAGAGAAAACAAAGACACATTTTAACAATAGATATTCTGAACAATTCTTCTGAACAATTCTATTTTAATGTAGATTTGTTAAAAAGGAAATCAAAGCTTTTCAAGTAAAAATAAACTACAATTTACCATTGGTCTTTTGTAAATGAAGTGATGAAACGAATCCCAGGTGGAAGTTCAGCCATTTACTTGAGTACCAGGTTTAACTTTTTGTTATTCAGATGCTTCAGATTTTTGTTCCAAGTTTGCAGCAAACCAAAATGTAATGCTGACTACATTTGTTCCTTGATGTTACCAATCACTGAGGGGTTAATTCTTTTCCCATATACCTAACTTTATACAAATAGAATATTTTCATGCCATCAGTTTATGCATCCCTTTTTGAATATAAGCCCACTGAGTTCTCTTGAACCAATTTTTAAGTAAGAATTCATAGGATTGTAGTTAAAATCTTAAATTAAGGATAATATAAATTCAAACAAATGCATTATCTTTGTATTTCATTATGTGGAAGAAAAATGTATTGAACAAAAAGAATCTTGAAAAGATTTAAATTATATGTTATCCCAGGATTAGCTCTTTTTTCAAATTAAAAGCCATAACCAAAATACCATATTAAAACGAATTATGAAGAGATTGAATTCTGTAGTCCGAAATTATTTGATTCTATAGATGCCAAGATATTCAGATTTGTTTTCTGGAATTTTGAGTACTCCAACTTGCTATTCATCCAAATATGTGAACATGAGTCACATACCTTGCAACTGTGAAAGAAATAGGTGGTATTAAGGCCATATATATTTTTACTGAAAATCTTTATCATTTGGTGCTGTTTATTTATTTTAGGTCAGTTTTCAATCTACAGTCTACAAATATGCATAATTGCAAACATTATACCTTCAGTTCTGTGTATTTGATATGAAACTTTAAAAAATTTTTTTTTATATTTATCAGTTTTTTAGGGTTATTGGAGATGGGGGTAGGGTGCTCTCCTTCCATGAGTGGTTTGTCTATTCTCTAGTCAATTTCACAAACCTACAAGTTACCAAATTTTATAGTTCTGTTTTATTTTCATAATGCTTGATTTTCTATGTTCATGTAAGTAAAATATTTTTTCTACTATGAGGTCATGTAAAATACAAGATGCACACAAAAATGTTTTTAAAAAAGAGGACAGATGAGAGTACTTATATTTTTCAAGAGAGGGAGACAGCGTATTATTGGCTTGTAACAATCATATAGCACTGTCTTTAGTTGTCTTGGAAATGAAATATGAAGAGGATGAAGTGAAAATGTCAAAGCAAAACTTAAACAACAGTTCTTCCTTAATTGTAGTGCTTGGCCCAATAATTTTTCTGTCACAGCTCTGGATATCTACAAATTACAAGACTGATTCCCCATTATATAACAAAAGCAGCCCCAAATATATTCTCTTTCCAAAGTGATGCTACTAAAATAAAAGCAAGAGTGGTGGACCTAAGAAATTCTTGGTTCTAATGATATGAATAATATTTGGATGGGTTCCCTTTGGACCACTATTGAGATTAAGTAATGATTTGTTGTAGAAAAGAACTTCATATTTTAAAACTTAAATAACAGAACCAGCTAACTATTTGCCATCCACAATAATGGTGAAAAAGAAAAGAAGGAAGAGTGAGAGAAAAGGAGGAGGAAGAGGAGGAGGAAAAGGCTATGGTGAACAGCATCAGTTATCACACAACAGTGTTAGGTCAGGAATGGATGCTGCATCTTTTCACTGCTTGCTTCATCACCTGTCACTTTTCAAACGAACTTTAAGACTGCCAAACTCTAGCTGTTCCACAATGTTCTTTATCCTAGCCTCTGTTGTAAATCTGTTTTGTAAATCTTAGAATTCTAGTAAAAATAAAACAGGTATTACAAGTTTGAAGTCTATATTCAGTTGACAATGAGCTGGTAGGCTATAAGACATGTGTGACCTGAAAGCTTCTACTTTTTTTATATAATGACAATTTATAAGGTGTCAATCAAGAACTTGGCTTTTGAACCATCAAGATTAAAAATAGTTTCCTGAAGATAAAATTAACTAAAAATTGGGATTAAATCAGAAATTGTAAAAGACATTAATATTCTTGATGCTAGTGTACTGGAAAAAAAATGCTACTGTTGAATGAATCTATCTAGGCTATGTAAAAAAGTTTCTTTTAGAAGACATTTGAAGATTGCAGATTTTTATTGGGGGGAGGGGTGCCAAAAAAAGCAACTTTTTAATAATTCTGCTGTTTTCAGTTGGGTTCTCTGCTCTATCTGAGGTATTTGGGATTGTTAGAGAACATTTCAACCTAAATGATAAACTTCCATGCATTCACAATTTTTACCTGAAATTGACAGCCTGCTGTAATGAAATAGTTTGTCCCAACCTAGAACTGACTTCTATACAAACTGACTTCTATATTAAATCCACAACAGAAAGATATTGCTCAAGTCTATTGACCTTATTAAAGTGCCTCAATCATTTGTAATGATTGCACCTGTCAGCCATAACTATGATGAAATCTAGTAGGTAAAAACCATAAAACCAAACTTTTAAATCCTGAGAAAATAAGCACTATTTTTTCTCTTCCCCAAACAACCACCATGGCACTGCCATGCCATCCATCTGGAAAGGAAACTCATTAAGAATGAAGTTAGGTTCCTTCAAGAATCCCGGTTTACTGGATGAGATATATCATCTAGACTAGAGGGACTTGGCTTTTGAAAATCTGATTGACAAAACTAGTTAAGAAACTGCTGCACAATTGAACAAGCAGCCCCATTCAGTTAAACGGAAGCGAACAGCCGTCGCACAGGCTTTGGGGTTGATTGGGGCTATCTCAATACTCATAACCGTCACTTTATGAATGTATCTCGGAAAAGCATACAACCAATCAAGAGCAACATATAGTAACACAGCCTAAATAAACACTATTTAAGGGTGAGCCATTATTTCATCTTTGGGTATGTGTTCGAAACGATGCATCGATATCTGGAAAAGAGACGGGGGCCAACATAAGCTCCCCAACGTGCTATCTCCCCGCCCCCGCACACCTCCCGCTCATCCGCCGAACCCCCCTTCAGTTTGCCGTTCGGTTGGTTTGCCCGGCAGCCTCCGCCGCCTCCGCCTCAGGTGCGATACGCAGCTCTTCCCCCTTCAGAGGAGAGTCTCCGCTCGGCCAAGGCAGAGCGCGCTAAGAAGCTGCCGCCTCCCCGAGAGCCCCCTTTCCCAAAGCTCCCGCCTGATCCCCCCCCCCCCCAACAGGCTGATCTCGGAGCGCGGCAATTTACCCGAAGTGAGGAGACGGCGGCGGTCTGCCGGCTGCCGAGTCCCCTTGGAAAGAAACGCTCCCGGCGCTTCCGACAGCTGCCCTGGGCAGCGACTTCCTGGTTTAGGCGCGGCTCAGGGCAAGGATAGTCGAGCGGGGAACCTGTCTGGCTCGTTCAAGCCTCTCCTCTTTCTTCGGGGGCAAGAAAAGGGCGTAGCTGGAAAAGAGGTGGCAAATGTCAGACCTGGAGAGAGGATCGAACCCATCTTTCTTTCTTAATGAACAAATTATTCTACCTTAGCCTGAAGCAGTGTTTTGTAAACAGAGCAGGTAGCCCTCAACTTACGACCACAATTAAGCCCAAAATTTCTGTTGCTGAAACATTTGTTAAGTGGATTTTGCCCCATTCTACAACCTTTTTTTGGCCACAGTTGTTAAGTGAGTCACTGCAGTTAAGTTAGTAGCACCGTTCTTAAATGAATCTGGCTTCACCATTGTCTTTGCTTGTCAGGTCGCAAAAAAGACTCTTTATAGCAGATCAAAATCCAAGAAGGACAATTTGCCTCTAAAGGAAAAACTGTGATGGAGCAAAGGAGAGGCTTAACTGTCTCACTGCAGAGTTTTTACCAGCCGAAATAGCAACTTTATCTAGAATGTCTTCTCTGATAATTTTATCTTGCTAATAATAAAAAATAGTGCTTCCAAAACAAAAACTGTTATAGTATCCATTTATTTATTAGTTAGACTTATATACCGTTTCATAGTGCTTTACAGCCCTCTCTAAGCAGTTTACAGAGAGTTAGCATATTGCATATTGCATATTGCCAATTGCCCCCAACAATCTGAGTCCTCATTTTACCCACCTCGGAAGGATGGAAGGCTGAGTCAACCTTGAGCGGGTGAGATTTGATCTGAAGTAGTCTGCAGTACTGCACTCTAACCATTGTGCCACCTCGGCTCAATTTGCCCACTAATTACTTGCCTGAGTCTGTTTTGGCACTTATAATTGATTGGGCTTCATTTTCCATACAAAATATATGGGATACAAAAGCTTGTAATGAAGCCCAGATGGATCTAATAAAATATCATAAGATGTAAATATTTCTGTAGTGCATAAATGTATAAACAGAAAATAAAGCATTATACCAGAAGAGTAAATTATATATTTATCCAGAAATTAGATTTTTGGCTGAATGCATTAATTAAATATGGGACTCCTTAATACAAATAAAAGTTAGTTTAAAATCCTGTAGGCATATCTGTGGGTTGTCCAATTGATTACAGTGAGGTTTTGTAACAATTTGAGTTAACTGGGAGATGATGAATTCCACCTTAGCACAAACCAGCTGGATGATCTTGGGCAAGTCACACACTCACCCTGAGAAGGCAGTAATGGCAAACAATTTCTGAATCTTGCCAAGGAAAACTGGTGGCACTAGTCCAGGCAGCAGCCAGGAATAAATGCACGTGTGCACAAACCCACACCCCCCAGAATAAACAAACAATTCACTGGCAGAAGTTTTTAGTTTTTAAAGGTTACCATTCCCATGCATATTTGTTGGAAGTTAAGTATCTCTGGATATATACAGTAGAAGGGTTCAATAGTAAACAATTTATACAGATTGTTTGCACAATCTTATGCATGTCTTGGAGTGGGCATGAAAACATTTCAGCCATTAAAAAGAAAGAACTGACTCATTTTAGAACCAGAAGTGGTAAAATTGCATTTTTATCCAGGACTGTAGTCAATCATGCTCTTTTCCAGGTTATATGTTATTAATGCTCTTCCCTCTTCTTTTTCTTCCCTACCTCCAGTCAGTTAATTTTCCATGCTGATTTGATTTGGAGATAGGTCTTCCTAAATGGCTTTTTAAAAGCATTGCTATTTATATTTCTACTAAATTTGGGGAACTCCAAGCCTACTGCTAATTTGCTATTGTGCATGGATGTGGTATTTCATTTATATCAGTGTTTACACAGAAATCACTATACAAATGAACTCTGATGGTTAGTTTATCTATCTAAAATATCTCCTTTGCTCCAGGGAGCAAATTTTCTTCTGGAATTAATCTAGTTGCCTAGAGCTGGAGGAAAGTAAAGAGAGGAAAAGAAAATAGTACCCCCTTCTTTGCAGTTTGTCTATTCTTGTTTTGTTTTGCAAAACAGGAAAACCATAACCATAAGAAATAAATGTTCATTTTGATAAGTGGATAACAACAAACATTACAAAATATATGCTTCTTGCGCTTCCTCTACAAGAACATCTTTAAGTTCTTTTACTGGGTTTTTAAACTGTATCTTAAAAAATAAATTCAGTAACTTCAAGACATGAAGGGGAAAAAACAGATCAAAAATATTATTTTAATGCACATACCGGATACCTGATGAACAGAAAGGTTTTCAAAAATGTATTTTAATTAGTCTACTACTTACTCCTACAAATGTGTTACTATTTCAATATTTTGATATTATTCTCTTAATCTGATAGTTTATCCTGAAAATAAAAATAAATATAACTAAATATATATTTGGAAGAATGCATTTTGCAGATTTCTATGAAGTTCTATAGTCTGCTGTCCCCATTCCCCTGTTCCCCCCACTCCCAAGAAATGCTGTTTTATAAGTTAGATTCTTAGAAAAGATACCTCTCAATTCCCATTGATAGCATGACTCTGAGTGGATCTCTGTTCAAAGAATATGGTGAGAAAAATACCAGAGCTAAACTACATAGATTAGGTTAATAAATGAAGGAAAGCCATTGTTATTAACACTAGTGCTATTTAGATTTTCTGATTTTGTGTATGTATGACCTCACAATTGATAGTTTTGTTGTATCTGTTATTTAACTTACTCTAGCACTTCATCTGATGAAGCTCAATGTCATACCGAAAACATGCCAAAATAAATCTAGACAATAAACTTTTATTAGGACGACACATATCAGTACTGACATCCACCCAAAGAAAAGCGTGTGTCTACTTGTTTCCCCAAATTAGAAATAATTATGCACTGGTACTTTATATGTCATTGGCTACAACAGCCTACAACAAAACTGTAAAATTGCACTGTCTTTTCTTGGGAGAAAATATGAATAGATATATTTGTGATAAATTACGTGGTTTTGCTGATGCTACAGACTTGGGTGGAAATATGGCAGTCAATGGACATCATGGGATGATGCAAAATTTTGTAGGCAAATAGCATGATTTGCCAAAGGCAGTATTTTTCAGTGCAAACCACATGCAAAATTATCTTCTGGAAAAACAAAATCTACCAACTCGCTGTTCTTGGAAACAAGGAATGGGGGACTGCTTTGGACTTCCCAATGTGAAGCTAACATATGAGCATACCCTCCACACAAAGAAGATAATGTGATAATTTAGGAAATTGAGGGGCAGAGAGTAGACACACTAAAGTATTAATAATGAGATAGAAAATAAGCCTGTGATAAATAATGGGTTAGGGAAAAACAATTTATGTTATATGCTGAAGTATTAATTGAATTGTTTATCTATGACACGATTTGAGCTGAATCAATCAGTTCACAGAGTTATTTTATCTGTAGAGTCAACTTTTCCTTGATCTTTGACTACCCATTTTGGCAAAAAAAGAAGGGGGAAAGGGAAAAGACAGCTTTGGTTTAATATGTTGAAAGAAATACTAATCTGTATGTTCACATTTAAAGGCCCCTGTGTTAAAAGTGGAAGAAAATTTGTAGGCAATGTTTCCCATTTGCTCCTTAATATTCTATAGAGATGATACCAACCCACAGGGTTTTTTTATTTAGTATATTTCAGATTCTACAGTTATTGTTTGTATTCTGCAAATCAGCTTTGGGTTAATAATTCCTAGTCAGCCCAACCCACATCATAGAGTTTTGGTGTGGAAAATAGGAATTAGGAGCATTAGGTGTGTCCATTGTGTTGAGCTGACAAAAAATAAAGGCAGGGTAAGTCAAATAAATAAAATAATCTCTCCCTTAAGAAAAACAAACCACATATTTTTAGTTAGCTAAGAAAAACAAAGTCATGTCTCAAACCATGTTTTTTTTTTCTATTTGGATGTCACAACAAACCATTAAATTAAGCAAGTTTTAATATGTATAAACTATACTGTGTGTGCATGTGAATTATATTGGTGAAATTTTGTTTTTAATAAAGGCATTTTGTATGGGTTACATTTTTTTAAACAAAGTAATATGTATATTACCGAATCTGACCGAACACTGGTGAGGTCTCACATTAAGATCTACCTAGTGGCGATAAGAGCGGCAAAATCTAATTATTTTTCCGATCTTGTTGCATCTGCAGAGAATCGCCCAGCCGCCCTGTTTAGGGTGACCCGCTCCCTACTTCATTTGGGAGCACGGGAAGACCCCTTGCAGGGTAGGGCTGAGAATTTTGTGCAATACCTGCATGACAAAATCGCGCAGATTCGGGAAGGCTTGGACTCTGATTGGGTAGGCTCAGATGGGGTGACGGAGGTGGGTCTTGAGAGTGTTATCTGGGAGGAGTTTGACCATGTGACTCCTGAGGACATGGACAGGATTCTGGGTAGATTTAGCACTGCCACATGTTTATTGGACCTGTGTCCCTCCTGGTTAGTGCTGGCCTCTCGGGCGGTCACACGGGGCTGGCTCCAGGTGATTATTAACACTTCTTTGACTGAGGGTTTCTTCCCTTCCACCCTGAAAGAGGCGGTGGTGAGACCCCTCCTCAAGAAGCCTTCCCTGGACCCGGCTGTATTAGCGAACTATTGTCCAGTCTCCAACCTTCACTTTATGGCG